TAAATGCAATTACCAACGTTAACTAACGAAATATCGCCAGTATGATGACGCAAGAAATAGAGGACGATAAAAATGCCAACGTTACGTTCGTAAATTTTTTAATTAATATACGCGAACAAAATCTTTTGTCTTAACATTATCGCAGTGAAAGAAAGTTTCAAGTATTCGTTTAATATTTTTAGTCATCGTTTCTTTCATCTGGATCTTACGATTCAATCAGATTTAAAGAGTCGTTGAAGTACTCGTCGCATTGATAAATCCCTTGACGTGTCAACTTTTTTTCTTATTCGAATTATCTTCTTTGAAAAAATGAAGGCGTAAAAGATCAAATGATCTTTGTATCGCCTTGTAAAGAGAGAAATGTCTGTTTATCGTTTGTCAGGAAACGAACGTTATTGAGATTGTACACGTGTCGCGAGAGCTCGCAAGGCTCTCGACACGTCGGCCGAGAATAACGACGCGTAACGCTGCGTCGTTTCACTATCATTGAGCGCAATTGACATCTTGCTGGCTGACGCTCAGTACCGGTTGGCAACCGGCTCGTCGATGGCTGGCAGTGCCGTGCGCGACTAGCCGTGTCCGTGGCTCTTCTCTCTCGTTCGTGTTTGATCGATCTGAGTCGTGCGTTTCCACGCCGATAACCGCCTTATCCACTTGCGGAAAGCTCGCTGGAAAGCTCCGTAACCCCGCGCGGTAGACGCCTTTAACCGTTCCTATTACACTTAATACTCGTCGCGTGACGCTCCCTAATGCTATAAGGAGAAATTTGTTTCTACCCCTTTTGCTTAGTCGATACAGCTGACTTATGGATCTGTGATTATAGCACGAGTTCTAAAAGAGATTTATCGCGATCGAAAGACGCAAGTATCGCAACAGAGGTTTCCGTGGTTTCGGACAAATCGATCGACAGTCAGTCCGTTGATCGATCAAACGCGAGAAAAAATAATTCTACCGTAAATATAGTTCTTCGATAATTATCGGTTTTTCGTAATTTATATATTTCGTATTTTACAGAAATTTCATGCAGGTTCACCGAATCCCGCCTTTTTGTTCACCTAATCGAAGCACACTTGTCTATAGGAACAGGTCGTAAAAACCTGTTAATCCGGTGAAAACAGGTGAAACGTGTCTCATTTCAGGCTTCGAGACGTAAAACTGAAGGGATCTGCGACGCCCGCCGGATTTTTTCCCGAGCATTTTTGTCGGTCTATTTTGCAGCTGAGGGGTGGTTTACCCTCTGTCTCTCTCTCTCTCTCGCACCCTCGTACTCTCGCTCTTCCCCTCTCGATGGTAGTTGTCGATGTTAGAGGGGTCCAGAGAGGCTGAGGGAGCTCGAGGGGGATGGTAGTAGATTTGGGGGTTGGACCCGTGTCGAGAGTGAGAGAGAAAGAGAGGGTGAGAGAGGTGGGGCAGAGGTGATCCCCGCGGATCAATACCGCCGTCGGTCGGCAGCCTCCAGCCTGCTCCAACGACCGATGCTCTCGTGTTTCCTCTCGAATCTCGAAATCGAATGCCATTCGGTACACTCACTCCGAGAAAATCATTCTTGAATGTACGCGACTCACCGTGCTCAATATTCTCGGCAAATCCGGAGTTCGTTTCGTCGGAGACTCGATTTTCCGCAGACTTTGGTTTCAGGGTAGAGAACGGTTTCCGTTGGAATTGAAGCAGGTGTTTAATTCTTCCATTTATTGTTCACGGGGATTTAAATCTTTTACACGACCCGCGAATCTTTGAGTTTAATTATCTACGCGATAACGGTTTGTTCGATTCGATTCGTCGACGCTCGTATTTCATATTTGTCAGACAGTTTTGCTTGAAAATTCTGGCAGACTTATTTCCTATCCTATTTCCTTCTTTCCTACGATTTAACGTGTCCAGATCACGGCATATTCGCAGTCTACGTCCATTATTTTTTCAAAGAAATCAATTATTCTTTAGAGAAAGGAGGTGCAGTACAGAGTTTCGTTCGTCTGTAACGATGGAAACGATTCGTATAAGTTCACACTCGGATAAGTAGATTCGATCGCTTCGGACACTAAGTACAATTTCATTCAAATGTACATGTATGGATGTAATTCGTATAAACAAAATTCCACTATGATGCGTCAAATCGTTTTTGCTAGTTTTAGTTGTCGCCTTTCGAGAATGGCGAAGACCATTCATTTACGATGAATTTGCTTGAAATTAAAAAAAGAACCAGACTAAACATCAAAATAAGTACCATATCTTCTTCTGGATTTCATCTGTAAACAAAATATCTCGTTGATAGAATCTACGCGAATCAGTTCCGCGGATACGCCGGTTGCAAGCCGGTTCTCCGTCGCCTTTTCACAAGGCGCGAAAGTAGCCCGGCTCGAGCGAGCGTGACGAAGCGAACGCTTTAAGTTGGCCGATGAACGACGCTGACGCAACGTACACGCTGGCCGATTACTCGGCTACTTTCTCCTGTTCCGGACAGTCGTAATATTGTTCGCGATTAGCCGGCGTGGCTGACGGAGGCGAACGCCGTTAACGGACCCCAATGAGCGCACGTCAGCAACGACCATGACGACTCGAGGAGAACGAAGGGCGTCTCGTTCGGTTCACGGCTCCGCCGTAAAGCAAATTAAACTCGAGCTTCTTCGACCGCGTCTCCTGTTTCGCGCGGTCCTAACTACTAGTTTCTTCGACCCGTCGATGATTAATTGTCCGCGTTTCGCAATCGTCCAAAGAGGAAACGACGATCAGGTGCTCGCCTTGAACGTATCACGCGAGCAAAATTTCTTTCAAAACTGAATCGACTTTCTAGCTCTTGCAGCAGCGTGGAAACGCGCCAGTTTCGATTAATATCGAGCGTCTGAAATTCAAGGGATTTCCGAACGATCTAAAAGCGGGAGCGCGTTACAACGAGGGCATCGTTGCGATATTTGGGTAGTTGCGAAAGCCAGTCGAGTTTTTCTTCGATAGTAATATGCGGAATAACGTTTCGGACAATGGCACGGTTCTCAAGGGACCTTGAACTCCTCCACAGACTCGCAAGGATGCATCGTCTGAGAAAGAGAATTTCCGCTGCTGGAGATTAGGTGTTCGATGTAATTTCTGCACGCGTAAACTCGTTCCACAACTCCTAACGAACAACTCTGGCGTCGAGAGACGGAGCGCTGTTCGATTCGCGACGAGGCCAAGTACCGTTTAATGAAATTTGTTAGGAAATCATCGAAAACCCTGTCTGTTTACCCGATGATTATAAAATATTCGTTCGTCTGTATCTTTCGGTGGATTTCCCGCGTAGATCTTTTTCAGCGTGTGTAATAATCTCGGGAAGCAAGCCAGAGCCGGATTCAGGATGTCAGTGTCCGGTATCCGTGGCCGGAAGCGTGTCTTGGTTCACGGATACGACCAAACCAAGATCCAGACGAAATAATGGAATAGGAAAAATTGGAACGACCTCGTGGCGCTACAGCCGTGTTTTGTCTCTGTTCGTTTTCTGAATCGTGGCTCGTTCTCTCGTCGCTTGTTTCTCACGTCCTGTCACTTCGAACATGCAACTGGTTAAGAGTCGCGAGAAAAAGCACGACCATCATTGCGCCGAAAGACGCGCCGTCCGGTCTGTCGGATTGGAACTCGAGAATGCGCAATGTCGACGATTCGAGATCAACTCGAAGTGAGCTTACACACCTTTCCTCTTAGAACGTTAATCTCGCGTTAATCGCAGCGGTCCAGTCGATGGTTAACCTTTAATCGAAACGATCGTTAATCCACGATAGGTCGACGCGTTTCTCCACACTGATTTAAGTGGATTTCCAGAACGAATGGAATTACAACGGCATTTAATGGAATATCGAGCCTGGCGAGACTCGCTTCTCGAAATCGCTGCCTTTCCGGCTAGCTCCGCGATGAAACGTAATTCCTCGCCAGCGTTCGTTATCAGCCAGCCACGGTCTTCCACAGACCTCGAAATTTACATCGAGCCACTCTTTTATCTTGACTCTTTGGTCAACGTAATCGCGGACGACGATTAATTCGACGCAATCGAGATATCGACGAGCAACTAGTTTTTATCGCGACAACGGCGTCCTGATTTAATTTGAGAAATGATCTTAACGCATTTGCCTTAACGCATACGCAGACATACGATTACCGTAGCAGATGGGAAAGAGATATCGGAAATTTGTTTAATCGACGTCCGATCGAAAGCGACGATTTTCCGCTGGTCGAAGGATCAGCGAGCTTAAAATCCTCCTCCGTTCGGTTCGTAAAACCCCGGTGGGCTGCGGTGACACGAAAATCCGCAAGCTGGAAGCTCCTGTAATCCATTGCTCGGTGCCGGTGTGTTGCGTGTCGCGATATTGTCCCCGTCGAACGTGCGTCGCGGAAAACGTACGAGACAAGGTACAAGCTGTGCCGGGCAGCGTTTTCTCCGCTTCGGGACGACGTCTCGTTTTCGCGGTGCGATTTATGCGCGATATCAAACAAGGCGACGAGCTACGCAACTGAACGACCGCGAATACGATATGCAACGAATTTATTAGGATATTATTCGACATGATCACCACGGTAATAAATATCGCGATACAACGTGCAATTTAATCGTTCTAGCGGGCTTCAATTCGATCTGTACTTGCAATATCTATCAACGAGCATACGATCTTGATAGTTTATGCGTTCTTGCGCTACACCGCGCTTTATCTCCCACAAAACGGTATACCAATCTAACACGATATAAAATCCACTCCAAATGAAACTTGATATAGCGCAACGTTACTACAAAATCGTTCGTTAGTTCGACTGCGCGAAACTTTAACGACAAAATATGACTCCCAATAGAAAGAGAAATTCGGACCATCGCGAAAGAGCAGAAAACGAACGAGCAAGGAGAGTGATAAACACTCTAAGGATTAGTAGTCGCGTGATAGTGGTTTCCCAGTGAGAAATCAACCCCCTAGTGTGTCCCCTGAAGTCGCGTTGATGAGAGGACAATTAACTAACCAGGCTTTTCCACTGTGTTCGCGTTGCAGGTACAAAGCGAATCGTTGCGTGAGCGGGGGCGGTGGCCGCGCAAACAGTGCGACTGGCGGTACCGGAGGCGGTCTAGGTAACGGAG